CTATAGGCAGAGGAAGTGGGCAGTGAAGCCAGCACAGGACACGAGCACCCCGGTGGGCACACCTCAGGACCAACCAAGAACAGAAGGAACATGCCCCTGATGATGGAGTGGGAAGGTAGAGAAGCATAGGAAACACTCGACCCAGAGTCAGCGCGAGAGGAGAGGCGCCTGGAACAGTGGAGGCACAGAAAACAGGGAAGATGGAGTCAACCCAGATCCATCGGCGCGTACATTCAGAGAGTGGGTCCTCTCCTGTTTAAGGACAGACGTCATCAATAGGACAAAAACAAAACTATGCTGCTTACAGGAGACACCCCCAAATGCAAGGACATGAGAGCTGAGGGGAAAGTGGGTCGTGGTCTGGTGAGAAGGGAGCTGTGGGTGTGTGTGCACGCCTGTGCGTGCTTGCGAGAAGTCAGACAAGTTATCTTAGGGCAGGAAACACTCCCGAAATTTTTTTTTTTAAGTTTATAATAATCAAGGGGTAAATCCACCAGGAAAACACAGCAATTCTAAATTTCTGTGCCCCTAACAACATAGCTTCAAGATACAGAAAGCAAAAAGCAACAGATCTGAAAGGAAAAACACACAATCACTCATCAGAGGTGGGGACGTGTAAGTGCAGGAGGCGGCAGACGAGAGGCCAGGTCAGTCCGCGGGTGGAGAAGCCGCACAGCCGTGACAGCAGCCCCCCCACCGGCACTGGGGTCCCCAGGCCCCCGCCCAATGCACGGCCACTCCCTGCGGTGTGTCTGCCCTCAAGGGAGCGACCAGGAGTCGGCGTGGAAGATACCATACCATGCACAACCACAGCATGGACGACCACGCTTTTGCCTGTGTGTGTGTGTGTGAGAGAGAGAGAGATGGTGATTGTTGACTGAACATCCCGTGGTGGTAATTTCACAGTAAACATCAGTCCGTTGCATCCACAGTGCTGTGTCAGCAATAACACTGAACAAAAACACCAAAAAGTATCGAGTAATTGGGAATAAGTGTAACAAAACATGCAGGAGATCTCTGCACAGAAATACAGAAGTTCTAGAAAGAGAAAATGTAGGTACATTTGGGGGCCAGGGGATAAGGGAGGAAGCCCGCCTCTCACCAAGCACCCCCCCCAAACCCCTCTGTAGGGCAGTTCCCGTTCGACCTCCTCCAGCTGGGTGCCGAGATAAAGGTGAGTAACACCCCTCACCCTCACACTGCCCCCCGCCACAGGGCCCCAGAGGGCACGCAGGACCCGCCACCCCTGGCTCCATTCTTCGGGAACTTGGTGGAAGCAGTGGGAGGTGGGAGGCTGAGCCCCGTCCTGCGGGCTGGCCAGGCCTGGGCTACAAAGCCTCTGGCTGCCTCGCCTGGGCCTGGGGTCTCTGCACCCACCCCTCCCCACGCCGGCGGCCACCAGGAGCTGGACTGTCGCCCACAAGCATTTCCATCCACAGGGGGAGAAGGGGGACCGAGGTGCTGCTGGGCAGAAAGGAGAAAGGGGTGAGCCTGGGGGCGGAGGATTCTTCGGCTCCGGTGTGCCTGGCCCCCCCGGCCCGCCCGGCTACCCGGGGATTCCGGTGAGTGGGGTCACAGGTGCCCACACACAGGAGGCTGGAGCTGAGGGAGGACCCCCTGCGGGCTGGGCCCTAAGCACCCACCTTGGTCCTTTGCCCCAGTGGGGGTAACCATGCAGGGGGCACCCACAAGTCAGGCCTGGCGGGAGCACAGCGGCCACCCTCCCAATCGGGCCCTGACCTGGGGGCACCTCCTCTCCTGCTGGTGCTGTCCTCTGCCGAATCCCCTCAGGGAGCCCCTCTGTCCTGGGGTCTGTGCCTCTGTATGGGGCTGCTCTCGCCTGCATCCCGGGGTCCCCTCCCAGCAGAGGGCGCACTGGATGGGAACGGAGTGGACAGTGGTTCGGGGACCATGGGCCCGTGGCAGATGCAACCCAGTCCCTCAGGCTTGCATGTCCCCGGCCTGCGGACACAGGTGACAAGGCCCCGTGTTCTGTCTCCCCCCCAGGGCCCCAAGGGAGAGAGCATCCGTGGTCAACCCGGCCCTCCGGGACCTCAGGGACCCCCTGGCACTGGCTACGAGGGACGCCAGGGGCCTCCTGGGCCCCCTGGACCCCCAGGGCCCCCAGGGCCCCCTTCCTTTCCTGGCCCCTACAGGCAGAGTAAGTAGGATGGGGAGTGGTCCTGGGCTCCAGCCTCCTTCAGCAGGGCCAGTGTTCCTACCTCTGGCTTCTCTCTTGTAGCCATCAGTGTTCCTGGCCCACCAGGCCCACCTGGGCCCCCAGGGCCCCCTGGATCCATGGGCACTTCTTCAGGGGTAAGCACTGCCCTGCTTCTGACCTATGGGACCCTCACTGCCCGGCTGCCCTTCCCTTTAGAGGCTGTCAGGGGACCCCAGCACCGAGGGCCCCAAGACATGGTTTCCAAAGCAGAAGTGGGGGCCCAGGTGCGGCTGGGGTCAGAGATGGGCAGGGGCGGATGGGAGCCACTGAGAAGGTCCCTCTGCCGTGCAGAGACCGTGGGGCCCAGGGCCTTGGGGGCTGCCATCTCCCCACAGCGCTCCTGGGGCCAGCCTGGGGAGGAGGGGCTACCTAGGTCTTCGGACGTCCCAGCCCCCACCCCCCGTGAGCCCTGAGGCCCCTCCGCAGGGATCCACTGGGCTGGGCTTCCAGCAGGTGAGGGTCTGGGCCACGTACCAGATGCTGGTGGAGCAGGTGCTGCAAGTGCCGGAGGGCTGGCTCATCTACGTGGCCGACAGGGAGGAGCTGTACGTCCGGGTCCGGAATGGCTTCCGGAAGGTTCTGGTGAGTCCTGGACGCGCTCTCCTTGCACATGGCGTGTGGGGGAGGGGGCTAACCGCCTCGCTCTGGGGTGATGGGAGGTGGAGGCTCAGTGTTGAGGCCTGGGTGAGGGTGCCAGACCAGCCAGGTGGGGTCCCCTTGGGTCTGGGCATGACGGCCAGTAATCCCCCATCCTTGCTTGCCTCTCTCCACCTTTTATTAGAAGCTGTTTTGTAGCAGTTTTAGGTTCATAGACAAGTTGCTGTTCCTTTTTAAACTGACAGATGTCCTTACCGTGTGCCAGGCACAGGGCGGGGAATTGCCCTCCCAGGAGAGAGGCTCTTTTGAGTTCTGGTCTGTCTGCCCTCGTCCACGGGGGCCAGCACAGGGACAGACCCTTCAGGGGTGCGAGTGGGGGGGGTTGGATAGTCCAGTTTCCCTGGGTAGGGGCCGTGTCACCCGACGGCAGCTCCTCTGAATAGAAGTCATGGTTTCTCAAACGGTTCAGGAGTGGGCTCCATCCTAGGTTGCGGGCATGGGGTTCTGTGTGGGGTTGTCTGCCCCGGCAGGGGCTTGGGAGTCCCTTCTCCCACTCTGCACCTAGCTGCGCCCCTCCCTCCCAGCTGCTGGGCGCTGTTCCAGGGGACAGCTGTGCCTAAGCGGGCACAGCCTTTGGCTGCAGGTGACACTGTTCAGAGAGACGGACACTAAAGTAGTCGGCGATGGGCAATACCATGGTAACGTAGATAGGTGTGGACCCGTGAGGTGCTTAGACCAGTACGACTGCATTAGAGATTACCACCAGGTACCAGTGGACAGGTGTCAGAGGCTTGTGTGCTGTGGGGAAGGGCAGAGTCGGGAAGAGGGGGGGTGCGCTAGGATTTGGGCGTCCAGGTCCCACTCTGAGGGGCTGTTGGTGCCTCCCCTGCTGTGGTGGGAGGGCAGGGAGGCTGTGGGGTCAGGGCGGTCCCTCCCTGGGTCAGGGGAGAAGCTGGCTTCTGAGGGTGAGGCCTGGGGGCTTGGGCAGAGGGCCACCTGACTGACTTAGATATCAGCAGGCTGGCTCCCTCCAGACCGGCTAGGCGCCCCAGGTCTGGGCCGCTGCCCCCAGCTCACCACCTCCAGTCCAGCCCCGGCCGCCCAAGAACACAGCCGGGTGCAGATGAAGGGCGCGCAGGGCCGGGCAGCAGGACCGCCCTGGCAGGCAGCAGACCCACACCGGCTCCCTCACGCCCCGCCTACCCCGCCCCGCAGGCCTCACCACGGGGCCCATGCGGGCGCAGCAGGCCAGGCCCCATGCACTGTCCGCTTCTCCCCCTGCAGGACAACGAGGTGGCTGTCTTGCAGCCCCCCCTGGTGCAGCTGCATGAGGGTAATCCCTACCCCCGCCGGGAGGCCCCCCACCCAACAGCGCGGTCCTGGCGGGCGGACGACATCCTGGCCAGCCCCCCGCGCCTGCCGCACCCCCAGCCCTACCCCGGCGCCCCGCACCACGGCGCCTACGCACACCTCCGGCCGGTGCCCCCCACGGCCTCGCCCTCCCACACCCACCACGACTTCCAGCCGGTGGTGAGTGACACCCCGCCCGCTGGAGATTCCGGAGCCTAGGGCAGCGGGGCGGGGCGGGTAGGGTGTTGCGGGGGAGGCCGGGGCGGGGACCCGCTGGGAGACCCACCGCCGACCCTGGCCGGCCGCGCTGACCCGAGGCTCCCCCGCAGCTGCACCTGGTGGCGCTCAACAGCCCGCAGTCGGGCGGCCTGCGCGGCATCCGCGGCGCCGACTTCCAGTGCTTCCAGCAGGCGCGCGCCGCGGGGCTGGCCGGCACCTTCCGCGCGTTCCTGTCCTCGCGGCTGCAGGACCTGTATAGCATCGTGCGCCGTGCAGACCGCGCCACTCTGCCCGTCGTCAACCTCAGGGTGTGTGCGCGGCCCTGCTTGGGGCTCACCTCTGGGGACTCCTGCCCACGTCTGCGAGGGGCGCTGGTGGCTCACCAGCTGGGGGAGGTGGCCGGGTCCCCCCAGGCCGTTATGCTGTGCTGTGGGTCCCACCCCCGCACCAGGGCCCTTCACCGGGCTGTGTTCTGTGGCTCCTTCCCCGAACAGAACAGTGCTTTCTAGATACTCCGAGTTTTATCCTCTGAGCGCCCACATCCCTCAGGACCAAAGCTGGTGGACTTGGTCCAGCTCGGGGGTGCAGGGCCGGGGGTGGGTGCCTGCCTCAGAGGTGCTGTTTCCCAGCTGGGAGGCCTTGTTCTCGGGCTCCGAGGGCCAGCTGAAGCCCGGCGCCCGCATCTTCTCCTTTGACGGCAGAGATGTCCTCCAGCATCCCGCCTGGTGGGTCTCCATGTGGGCCAGCGGCTCGGGTCCTCTGGATCCGAGAGTCCTGAGCAAAGGGGGACCCTCTGGCTCCGAGCCTGCAGGCTGACTCAGTCCTGACACACGCTCGCAGCTTAAAACCCAGAAAATCCAAGATCACAGGAGGAGTAGTAAAGGTGGTTGTCTGTGGTGTTACATGAAACACCTCCATCTGGCCTGCTTTCCCAGCAAGTGCCCCCCCGCCTCCTGCCAGGGTGGTGGATCTGGGAGGCCACAGGCTCTGGCCGCCAGTCTGTCACATAAACATCACAGCGAATTACTTATGTAGATTCCTCAAAGTGGAATTTCTGGGTCGGAGAACACGTGTGTCCAACATGCTTGCAGAAGTCACCGGGTGGCCCTCAGGCTGGCCCCATGCCCATCGCGCTCTGCCGGCCAGGTGTGAGGACTCCTGTTCGCAGACATTTAGGGGGCTCAGGGTGTTACATGAGCCTGTGGCCCAGCCTTCATCGGGGAGCACCACCCAGGGCTGTGCCCCGGCCCCTGTGGGCTCCACCAGCCAAGGGGCTACACCTGGTTCCTAGTGAGGAGGCTGGCAGCCTTAATCAAGCATGGCCACTCGATGCCAGGTCCACCCTCCCCCAAAGGGCCAGCCGTCCATGTTGCCCTAGGCCCTGCTCTCCAGGCGGGGCCCCCCAAAGCAACAGCAGCGCAGGGTGTGATCTGGGAGGTCAAGCCCCAGGACTGGGTGGGCCTGACTGCCGGCAGCCCGAGGCTTTGCTCCCCTGTGGCCCCCACACCCCACCAACCCTCCACCAGCGGGAGACACCCTCTTCTGCTTGGGGCGGCTACAGCCTGGGAGAGGCGGGCCCAGTGAGACTGACAGCTGCTGCATCTTGCAGGCCCCAGAAGAGCGTGTGGCACGGCTCAGACCCCAGCGGGCGCCGGCTGACCGAGAGCTACTGCGAGACGTGGCGGACGGACACCAGGGCGGCCACGGGCCAGGCCTCCTCGCTGCTGGCGGGCCGGCTGCTGGAGCAGAAAGCCGCTGGGTGCCACAACGCCTTCATCGTCCTCTGCATCGAGAACAGCTTCATGACCTCCTCCTCCAAGTAGGGCCTCTGTGGGCACCATGGACAGGTGGACTGACGAACAGAGTGCCAGAGAGGAGCCAGGCGCCAGGCAGGAGCGAATGCCCCCAGCCTGGGCAGAGAGCCTCTGCCGGCACCCCAGGGAGGGGACCTGGCTGGGACACTTGCCTGTATGGTTCACGTTTCATGTAATCCTCAAGAAATAAAAGGAAGCCAAAGAGTGTATTTTTTAAAAAGTTTAAAACTGCCTGGAGCTCAGACTTCCTTCTGGCCTTGTTTTGGCAAGAGGCCAACTCTGGAAATTTCTGCCGAGGGAGGTGCATTCCCAGGACCTCCTGGGTACCTTGGGGCGGGGTAGGGGGTGGTGTTTGAACCGTCCCAACTTTTCTGTTTCCCAGAAACCCTTGCCCTGCCAACACCGGGCCATCTACAGAGAAGCCACGAGGGGGCGCTGAGACTTCACCACATTTCTTCCCAGCAGCCATCCTGCGGAAGCTTCCAAACTTGAGGCCCCACCGCTGACCCGGGCTTCTCAGCCCCACCTCCCCGGGCTGTGGCCCCTGTCTCCTCCTGCTGCTGCTGTGTGTGGCCAGTCCTGCCACGGGGGGTGGGGATCGTCTACAGTAAGCGACCCCTACGGCACGGAGCCTGACCTCAGCCCAAGATGTACTTTTTGAGGGGTCCATGAACCCAGCACCCGGTCCCTGGACCTCCTGCTCAGCACTAGCATCCCTTCCCCAGGGCGAGGATCACCAGTTCTGGCTCCAGCCCAGCTCTGCCTAGGAGCATGTCCAAGTCCCATCTAGGCCCAGATCCAGGCCCCCTCAAGTCCTGGCCAGAACTGCCTCTGGTTGAGCTTGGCACCAAGGTCCCGGGCCCACCTCTGCCAGACTTGGAGGCAAGGGGATGGCCACATGCACCTGCCCAGCCAGCTCTGAGATGGGCAAGGATACATGGAGGGGTGGGGCCAGCCCCGGACCGGTGAAGGCCATGTGTGCTTGCTTGGTCCCTGCTTAGTACCATCTGCACCAGCACGTCTCCGGGAAAACCCACGGTGTGGCCCTCCCTCCTTGTGGGAGGAAAGGAGAGGACACTTGGGGGTGCACACGGGCATCTCTGGGGGAGCTGATGGGATGGCCATGCTGGGATTTGCAGGCCAGAGCCCAGCTGCCCCAGGGCCTGCTGTCTGACCACTGTGACAGTAAACTGAGGGGCTGGTCCTAGGAGCTGTGTCTGTGGCTTCCCAACAGCCTCCAAATAAAAACGGCCATTCACATGGACACTTGGTCTGCGGGAGCTCTATTCCTGCCTAGAGAATCCCATGGGCAGAGGAGCCTTGTGGGCTACAGTCGAGGGGGTCACACAGTCAGACATGACTAAGTGACTGACACTTGCGTTTTCACTGTCAGGAGGCGAGTCCTTGTTTGGACTGCCCAGCTGGCTGATCCTGCCAAAGGGGTATACGCAGGTGTGCAAACATGCACGGATATGCATAGGTATGCACAGGTATATACAGGTGTGCACACATATACACAGGTGTCCAGAAGCACACAGCAGGAGTACACAGGTGCATACAGGTGTGCACACGTATATACAGGTGTGTAGGCACACACGGATGCACATGGATACACAAGGGTTTGCAGATGTATGGTCATCCCAACAACCCTATAGATACCAAAACCTGCTCAGGAATTCTTATGTAAAATGGTGTGATTTTTGCATGTAACCCATGCACATCCCTCTGCATATTCTAAATTATCTCAGATTACTTCTAATACCTAATACTACAACGCCATGACTATACAGTCCATGGAATTCTCTAGGCCAGAATACTGGAGTGGGTTGCCATTCCCTTCTCCAGGGGATCCTCCCAACCCAGGGGTCAAACCCAGGTCTCTCAAATTGCAGATGGGTTCTTTACCAGTTGAGTCACCATGGAAGCCCAGAAAAATGCTATAGAAACAGTTGTAAATACAATGTAAACACCATGATAATAGAGGCTGGAAAATGGCAAATTCCATTTTGCTTTCTGAAACTTTCTGCATCTAAAAATACACATATTTTTTCAATCCACAGTTGAATCCTCAGATGTGCATGCATATAGAGATCTGCCAGGGGTGTGCACCGGTGTGCATGGATATATATATACATGCAGATATGTACAGGTGTGCATAGGTGTACATGGACATAAGAGGCACACAGATGTGAGCAAATACACATAGGTGTACACAGATGTGAGATATAGATACATGGATGTAACGGTTGGTGGAGGCCATAGGTGCCACACACCCATCTTCTCTCAGGTCTCCCTGGGGGCAGCCAGCAGCCTCAAGAGCCCCTCAGAGCATGCAGGTAGTCTGTGCCCCGGGCTCCTGACCCAGCCTCCCGCAGCTGCTGCAGGTGTCTGATCCCTGAGGGGCATGCACACTGCACTGAACAGGAGCTCAGCAGAGGAGGTGGCAGAGGCCGAGCAGGGGGCCAGCGACTGTGGGAGGCTGCGGGGGGAGCAGGAGGACGGGGCCACTGGGCCAGCCACACCAGGAGGGCGCTCCTGGGGTCCGGGGGCAGGTCGTGGGGGCCCGGAGCAGAGCCCTGCCTCCTGGGTCAGTAGCAGAGGCGAGCCCTCTTCCCTCGAGCCCCGCTGGATCCCTGAGGATGGAGGAACCGGTGCTGGCTGCTGCCTCTTCCTGGCAGGGTCTAGGAGGCAGCTGTGGCGTCTCCCACAACCCAACCAGGGGACCACCCATCCTGACTGACCTGGTGGCTGTGACTTACCGCAGGTCCAGCCTCTTCCTCAACCCTCAGGGTGCCCTGAGATGCCTCGCTCACCTAAGCCAACCTCGGAGACCCCAGGGGCAGCCAGCTGGAAGCCCTGCCCCCAGCAGGCATCCTGCTCTGAAGTTGGAGCAGCAGCCTTTTCTGTGGACCTTGGATGAAGGCCAGAGGCCACAGGAGGAGTCAGGATCAGCTCAGGTCAGGGTCGGGTCCTTGCCTGTGGCTGGGGACAGGGCTGGGCCCCTCCACTGGCCTGGTGGACACATGGAATCAGGTGCCCCCTCATGTGGGTTGCATGTCCACATCATGTGTCTGGGCATCACATCTCAGAGGATGTACGACTGCCTCTCAGGCACCGGCAGCGCCCAGGGTGGCACAGGCAAGTCCCCTCCCGGTTGTCCCCCAGAAGGGGGACAGCATCAACCCAGCTCTGAGCAAAGGAGGGAGAGGATCTGGGGTGAAGTCTGGAACTGAGGTACTTCCACTGGACAGAACCACCCCTCCCCCAGTGCCCTGTTTCTCCCCCAGAAACAAGCCAGATAAGGATTTGCACTTATGTCCATTTTTTAAAAAAGGGATAGAGCATCACTGAAAATACAATCACCCGGACAACTGCAAATATCACAGTTTAGCCACGGGCCCAGGAACATGGCCCCCACAGCCCAGCATATCCCGTGGGGGCTGGGTCCCCTAGACTGGCATCTGGGACCACTTTGCTGGTTCCCTGGAACAAGTGGGACTTGCCCCCCAAGGAGGAGAAAGCAGGGAGGCCTGGTGGGTACCTGGGCCCCACCACTGGACCAGCCCCCAGTGGCCAGGGTGCCCTGCAGGCTGGGGGTCACAGCCAGGGCATGAAGCAGGGCCGAGGGGGGCCGTGCTCTGCATGCCATAATGCAAGTCAAGGACCCCTCGTGGAGGCCAGTGGCCCTCGGACCCTGGGTCCCAAGGACAGACCACCAGGGCCTCAGTCACAGTTGCCACAAGGTGATGATGTGGACATGATGCCGGAGACCTGGCTGCTGACACAGAGAAGACAGGGAGCTTTGAGGTCGAGGCCTGGCTTGCTGCCTGCAGTGTCAGGAATCTGACTGCCCCCCCCCGGCGGGACAGCAGGTCAGCTGAGGTCATGCCTTGGCCTCACATGGCAGGCACACCACCCGTCGGGGCTGGGAGCGGGGCTCTGTCCTGCGTGGCCTTCTCTCGCACGGGACTCACCAGCTCCTGGGCCGGCGGCAGGGGCTGGTGGCGGCTCTGTTTGAAGTGGCGCAGGCCCACCAGCACGGCGGCAAGGAAGTAGGCGGTGAAGAGCAGCAGGAAGTAGACGAAGTAGGTGAGGAACTGGAATGGAGAGGCACAGGTGAGGTCAGGGGAGCACCTGGGGGAGGTGAGGGGCACCCAGGGAACGGAGACATGGGAACTGAGAGGCGCAGGTGAGGTCAGGGGAGCACCTGGGGGAGGGGGAGTGGCACCCAGGGCTCACAGACAGGGCAACAGACAGGTGCCGATGAGGTCACAGAAGCATCTGAGGGGGTAGGGGGAGGGGCACCCAGGAAACAGGGACATGGGAACAGAGAGGCGCAGGTGAGGTCAGGGGAGCACCTGGGGGAGGGGGAGTGGCACCCAGGGCTCACAGACAGGGCAACAGACAGGTGCCGATGAGGTCACAGAAGCATCTGAGGGGGGAGGGGGAGGGGCACCCAGGAAACAGGGACATGGGAACAGAGAGGCACGGGTGAGGTAAGGGGAGCACCTGGGGGAAGCGGAGGGGCACCCAGGGCTCACAGACAGGGGAACAGAGAGGCACAGGTCAGGTCACGGGAACGCCTGGGGAGGGGGGCGGGGCGCGCAGGCCTCCACCGGCCAGCCAAGCAGAGCACAGCCTCTGAGCACAGCTTCTGAGCCTCTGGGATCCTGCCTGAGGCACTGTGATCACTTGGTGTGACAGCAAATGTGTGCTTGGCTCTGGGGCCAAGTCTTCACACCTGTGTGGGTGGAGCCTGGTGGAGGGGTACAGACCATCCAGTCGCCCAGCGCAGCCCCCATGGCCCTGGGGCCTGGGCAGCCCCGAACCCGGCGACCCATGAAGCGGCCCAGCAAGAATGCACAGGGACCTGGGCCCAGCACAGAGGACCCTCCCACCTGAATCTCAGATCACTGGGCACAGGGGTTCAGGGTGTCTCCCTCATCTGCGGGCCAAGGCACCGGAGCTCTACTCCCCCAAGGGGGCTCCCTGAGACCCCTTTAGGCACCAGCACGCTCAGCCCTCCTAGGAAAGCTTGTTTTCAGAAGCAAAACCAGGAAGTGAACCATCAGAGACTTCGCGTCCAGGACCCTGGGGCCAGCATGTCTTGCCTCTTTTTCTCCGAGTGTGAGCGAAGCCCCGGACACTGCACAGAGAGCACTCAAAGGTGACTGAAAGCTGGAAAGGCAGACCAGCCTTGACCTTGCAGTCTGAGGGGCAACACGGCAATGTGTTCCCTGGTTTTTTCTTCTTTCTGCTGCCTGTATTCTTAAAGGAACCAAAGAAGCCAGCAAACCAGAAATCCCCAAACACATGGGAAAAAAACCAACACTAATAAAAGCTGCTCCGAACGAAGGATCAGGAGAGGGACCACTGGCCCAGCAGGATGGGACACTGAAGAATGGGAACCACTCTACTCCAGCCAGACCCCACCCTCATGACCCAGGCTATGATGCCCCCAGTCTGGTCAGGAGGTGTTGGTCAGGGCCCATTGGGGAGCTGGAACGTTCACCCCCACAGAGACCACATGGAAAGCCTGGACTGTCACTCTTACCAGGCGGGGCCCCCACTCGTTGAAGAGGCAGGACTTTCAACCCACCCAGCAGTGTCAAGAATGCTCTGCCCTCACCAAGATCACTAGAGACCACAGGGGGAGCGGTAATGAGGCACCCAGGCCCCTCTCAACCACTCGTGGCCACCTTGGGGAGCTTGCACTCCTATCCTTGCCCCCACACACCCCTCAGTGTGAGGAAGGCTGAGGGGGGAGTCTGGACACCCACCCCACCTGGCTGTAAAGAGGTACAAGTTCCTAGTCCTCTGCGAGAGTGGTGTCAGGAAAAGCCAGCTAAAGCAGAGGATTAAATAAGATTCAGAGAGACTTCCCTGGTGGTCCAGTGGTTAAGAATCCACCATGCAATGCAGGGGACGCAGGTTCAATCCCAGGTCAAGGCACTAAGATCTCACATGCCTCAGAGTAACTAAGTCCAAGTACTGCAACTAAGACCCAAAGCAGCCAAATAAATAAGTATTTTTTAAAAAAATAAGATCTAGAATCTCATAACATAATGGCCAAAATGTACAGGTTTCATGTAAAAAAATCACTCGGCAAACTTAGAAAGAGTTCTCTAAATGAATGAAATACAATCAACAGACACTGATATCAAGGTGACAGAGATGATAAAGCTTTGCAGAAAAGAAATGGAAGAGATAAAGAAGAAAAGTTACAGTAAAGTTACAGTAAAAGAAGAAAAATACAGTAACCAATATAAAAACTTGACAAATGGTCTTGACAACAGAATGGCAGGAACAGAGAAAAGAATTGGTGCACTGGAAGATGAAACAATAGAAATGGGCAAATCGAAACAATAAAACAGATAGGGAAAAGAGCAGAGCCTCATTCTCTAGGGGACAACACACTTGTTATAGAAATAAAACAAAAAGAAAGAAAAAGGATGGAACTGAAAAGGTACTTGAGGAAACAATGGCTGTGAAAATGTCTCAAATCTGGCAAGGGACATAAACCTGCAGATTTAAGAAGGTGCATGCGTATCACGTTCAGTTGCTCAGTCATGTCCAACTCTTTGCAACTCCACAGACTGCAGCCCACAAGGCTCCTCTGTCCATGGACTTTTCCAGGCAAGAATACTGGAGTGAGTTGCCATTTCCCCCTACAGGGCATCTTCCCAACACAGGGACTGCACTTGCATCTCCTATCTCCTGTATTGGCAGGCAGATTCTTTACCACTGAGCCACCTTGGAAGCCCCTTAAGAGTGTGAGGGAACCCCAAACAAAACACCCACCCCAAATCAGACCAACACAGATCATAGTCAAATTTCTGAAAGCTAAAGACAAAGGAAAAATCTTGAAAGCAGCCAGAAAAAAATGACACTGTAGGGGAAAAATAATGAGAATAACAGTGGATTTTTCATCAGAAACCAGGAAGATCACGAGGAAATGACAAATTTTTCACATGCTGAACAAAAAAACTTTTTAACCCAGAAACCTATTCCACTGAAAACATCTTTCAGAAATGAAAAATAAATCAAGATACTCTCAGGTCAAGAAAAACTAAGAGAACAATTTGTCACCAGCAGATCTGCCCAAAAAGAATGCCTGAAGAAGGTTCTCTAAACAGAAAGTAAATGATAAGAAACCTGTGACATCAAGAATGAGAAACAACAGTGATCAAAATTATGGGTAAATAGACTTTTCTTTTCTCCAGTTTCCTAAATGTTTGATAGCTGAAGTAAAACCTATAACCCCTTCTTAGGCAGCTCTAACGATATATAGGGGAAATAAACAAGGCACTTGTACTATAAACAGTGGAGGGAAAAGTGACTTAAAGGAGGTGAGATATCAATACTTACTACAACTGGCCATTTATTACACAAAGCAACTATCAAAAAAGTTATCACAAGAGATACACTCAAATTACACAACAAATAACCCAAAATGAAGTTCTGAAGAATCTGTAAATGACATATGAAAAGGAAGGGGAAAAAAAAAAAAAACAGAAACAAAAGGCAGAGAATAAAAGGAAAACAAAAAGGAAATGACAGATGTAAGTTCTAAGACAGCACAATTACACTAAATATAAATGGTCTAAATAAACTAATCAAAGAGATTGGCAGAGTGAGTTAAAAAACATGACAACCATATGCTATCTACAAGAAACTCAAGTATAACAATATAGTCAGGTTAAAAATAAAAGGACAGAGGCTTCCCTGGTGGCTCAGTGGTAAAAAAAAATCCACCTGCCAATGCGGGAGACGCAGTTCAATCCCTGATCTGGGATGATCCCATATGCCACGGAGCAACTAAGCCCATGTGCCATCATGGATGAGCCCGTGCTCTAGAGCCCAGGAATTGCAACTACTGAGCCCACGTGATGTAACTACTGAAGCCCACATGCCCTAGAGCCTGTGCTCAGCACCAAGAGAAGCCATTGCAATGAGAAATCCACACACCGCAACTAGAGAAAGCTTGCACAGCAATGAAGACCCGGCACAGCCAATAAATAAATAAAAACTGGAGGAAAAAAGCCAAAGGAAAGCAGAACAGCTATATGAATGTCATGTAAAGTAGACTTCGGAGAAAATAAAATGACCACAGGCAGAGAAGGACATTACATAATGTTAAAAGACTCAATCCACCAAGAGACACTGTGCATGTGTATGCAACAAGTAGTTGAAAAAATGTGAAGTAAAAACATGATAGAATTGAAAGAAAAAATAGGCAAATTCACAGTTATAAATGAAAACTTCAACATTCCTTTCTCAACAATAGGCCAGACAGAAAATCCATAAGGATACAGAAAAAACCAATACCACCATTAACAATAGAATGTAATCGGTATTTATAGAATACTCCACCCCCAAACAGCAGAATTCACATTCTTTTCAAGTGTCCATGCAGCATATAACAAGATAGACCATATCCTGGGCCATAAAACAAACCTCGACATAATGCAGATTGTGTTCTCTGATCACAACAGAATAGAATCAAAAATATAAATCAATAACAAAGATAGGAAAACAACCAAAACACTTGGAAACTAAACAAAACATTTTGAAATAATCATAGGTCAAAGAGAAAGTATGAAAAGAGACAAAAATACATAGAAATGAAAGAAAATGAAGATACAACATATCAAAATCTGTAGGATGTAGCTAAAGCAGGCTGAGGGGAATGTATAGCAATAAATGCAAATATTAGAAAAGGAAAAGTCTCAAATCATTAATCTAAGCTTCCATCTCAAGAACCTAGAAAAAGATTAGCAAAATAAATCCAAAGCAAGTAAAACAAAGGGAACAGTTAAAACAAAAGTTCTAGCCAGTGCAATAAGAAAGTAAATAAAAACCATTTAAGAAAAGACCTCCCAGAACAAATAAGTGACCTCAACAAGATTAGACAAGATTAACACACACAAGTCAATGTATTTCTTACACAGGCAGACCTCAGAGATATTGCTCAGCTCCAGACCACCCCAATAAATATTGCAATAAAGCAACTCACACAAATTTTTTGGTTTCCCAGTACATATAAAAATTATGTTTATACTATACTATAGTCTATTAAGTGTGTAATAGCATTATG